TTCAGCTATACGGACTGAATAGGCACAGTATTGAGTGTAAAGTTCGGTGAGTGAGCACGACGAATCCATAAGTTAACCCATCTCTCGGACCAAGGATTGAATCCCAAATTGGTAGGAAGCTCCTTCGAGGGCAGCGAACCAGTAACAGCCTCGGAGGCGTCCCTCCCCACGTAGGATTCTTGTGAGAATTAAAACGCGGGCATTTCTGTGCTCCTGCAGCTCCTCTTCCAACCCCTCCCGACCTTATCTGCCTAAGCTATCCCCCCATCTTCCGCACGGCTTCTTCGCTGGCTCTCTTAACCCAGCCCGCAGAGGCGAGGCCGGCGTTCAAACAACCGGCCAGCCTCCCGGGTTACGTCTTCTCACTCCGTCAGGATGTGAGCTCACGACGCCACCTCCTCCTTCCTTTTGTGTAATGCTTACCGGTTCCGTGTAAGCAAAGAAGCTGAAAATCGCTCTGGGCCCTGTTGGCCTGGGTTGCCCAGCTTTGGCGACAAAGGTGGTGAGTCGTGGAAGGAGGGGGCGGCTGAAAATACGGGCAAGAGAGCTAGCTTGCTAGCTTTCTCCGGGCTTGGTCCATCTGTAGCATGGAAGTTGGTGGATGCCCGCTTGTGAGGCATTAAGGGCAGCTTGACAGAAGGTGATTCGGACTACCGTCGCGCGCCTTCGGCAGCCAGCAAAGCATGGGCAGGTAGTCCTATGGCATCAGGCGGGAGGCCGGGTGGAGAAAAAAAAACAAACCCTCAACTTGGGGCTTTCCACTTGCTTTCTTTGGAAGAATGCCTCTAGCTCGCAATATTTTCGAAGATTCTTGCGCTCCCCTGTTGTTTGAACTCTCCCTACAAGCGAGTACCTTGTGGCGAGTAAAAGGGCTTGGGAAGTCCAAGCTCAAGTCTGCTCTTAGCTACTGAAGTCTAACGAGGAGCCAGCGAAGGCAGTAGATCCCAGTCAAGCTGCCTCAAGGGATTGTTGTTTGATGGCAATAAGGGACTGCTAAAGGCAGAGATCTATTGGCCTGAAAACTATCAGAATCATCCGATTGTGCGTGGGGGGTGGGTGGGTGGGGAAGAGGAGATGATAGGCAGTGAATTTTTGAAGGAATGAAGAGAAAAGCAGACAAATTGATTTTGACAAGCCAGTTAGTTTCAACTTGTTACAAGTACAATCATTTGTTTAATCATCATCATTCTCAAAAACAGCTGGATTGATAAACTGTTATGCCAGAACTAGATAAACCACTTTATAGTTCAACTCTTTCTATACCTTAATGGTGTATATGGTGTAAATCAGGGCTTTTCAATCAGTGGTACGGGTACCACCTGTGGTACATTGGCACCTGGCAGGTGGTATGCGACCATCCTAGAAAAGTGGTAGCGGGGGAAGAGAATGAGCTGAACCGGTGGCAGCACCGCACAAGCCTGAGCGAGAGATGGCTGGAGGTGCAGGGCTGTCAGGGCTCAGCGGAAGCGCCAGGATCAGTGCTGCTTTCCAGCTGATCGGTGCTTCTTCGGGACTGTCAGGGCTCAGTGGAAGCACCAGGATCAGCGCCAGGCTCCAGCTGGAGTTCGACACTGATCCTGGTGCTTCTGCTGAGCCCAGAAGAAGCGCCGATCAGCTGGAATGTTGCAGCATCTCCAGGGTCTTGTGATTTACATTCAGATGCTTGGCAACTGATTCATATTTATGACGGTCACAGTGTCCCAGGGTCATGTGAAGTGACCAAAACCTGCTGCAACCACTCAGCAGATGGGGGGAATAAAAACCAAACACCCACCCCACCCCACCCTCGCTGCCAATCCTCAACAGAAATGCTCACAACAATGAAAACCTCGGACAGGAGGAAGAGCGCCACTGGGCGGGCAGGCAGGTGTCTTGCTCAGCTGTGCCTTGGGGGACACTTTTTTCAGTGCCATTGTAACTTCGAACAGTCACTAAGCGAACTGTTGTAAGTCGAGGACTACCTGTACTTCATCACTTTTTTCCTTTTTGGGTGGGGGTCATCAAGTTTTTGACACCTTGCTAGGCGACTGGTGGTACTCGGATATTGCCATATCCTAAAAGTGGTACAATGGGTGAAAAGGTTAAAAAGCCCTGGTGTAAATGGCCTTTATAGGAATATGAAAACGTACAGAATGTTTCTTTGTTCATTCTTCCTGAAGAATGTCCATGCAGGTTGGAGAAATGTAATTCAGCATATGAAAAGACCTAATATTGGAAACCTAATACGGGACAGTAAGATATGAAGTTTATATTTGACAATAAATTTCAGAAAGAAGCTGGATAGAGTTGTACATTACAGTACTGGCCCAGAAGATAATACTGGAGGAGAGACAAGCAGTTATTCTGGTGTTACCGCTTCAGAAAATCTTCTTTCTCAGTTAAGTTTACTATTATGATCACTGACTAGCATTTTCTACAGTTATTGCATAATGTTTTCTAAAATCAGTGGAAGTAAATAAAATAATTCATTGTAATGCTATAAATGCAGATACAGTACTAAGGAATTTTAATATTAAAACTAACAAGAATATAAAATTATTTTGTCATAAAAAAAAATCAAAGTGTTTACCTACTAAATAGCAAACTGCTAAGCAAGTAGACAGATTGTGCAAAAATATATGTATATAAATATAATTAGGGACAATGACCGAAAAAACTATAACAAAGGACTAAAGTATAAAGTGCAACTTAAAAAAATATCAGAAATTTAAATTTGGAAGAAGGATAGCTTTATAGGTTTATTTATACCCTTTATAGGCTGCCTGACTACCAATGATTCTGGATGGACTCGCAACTTGGATTACTGAAAGTCAGAAAAATTATAACAATACATACAGTAGACATAGAATGTAGTCTCTTAGGTATAGTAAGTGTAAGCTTTTTGTGGTAATTGTTAAGGTCATTGGCTATAGTTTATATTAGCAATAATATTTATTGTTTATGTAACATTATCATTTGAGCCCACAAGAAAGAGGTAGGAACAATATGTATGCCACATTGAGTTGTAAAAAAATAAAGGCAAGATATAAGTGTAATACATAAAGTCCTCGACTTATATCCACAATTGAGCCCAAAATATATATTGTTAAGCAACACAGTAGTTGTGAGTTTTGCTCCATTTTGTAACTACTTGCCACAGTGGTTAAGGGAATCACTACCTTTGTTACGTTAGTAACATGGTTGTTAAATGAATCTGGCTTCCCCATAGACTTTACTTGTCAGAAGGTCACAAAAGGTGTTTACATGACCCTGGGACACTCCAACCATCATAAATATGAGCCTGTTGCCAAGTGTCTGAGTTTTGATCATGTAACCATGGGGGATGCTTCAATGGTCGTAAGTGTGAAAAATGGTCGTAAGCACTTTTTTCAATGCCATTGTAACTTCGAATGATCACTAAATGAATGGCTGTAAGTCGAGGACTACATGTAAATAAGTAAAACATCTGAAACTTTTAAATAATTAAAACTATATCACGAATTATTATTTAAAGTCAACATGACTGCTTCCTTTTTAATTGCAGAAAAAATATTTAGTACATAGAAATAATAGTTTATAATTACCTGTAGCTTACATTTATTTTTGAAAAATTATATGTATGTATGCAGTATAGTTGTGAATTTCTGTATAGTATCTACAACATATACACAAATATTGTACATTTCAATGTAACAGGAGAAGCAATTTAGAAAACATTGGGTTAGATCTGTAAAACGTTAATTGAATTAAGTTAAGATTATTTGCATGATTATTTTGTCTGTTCATTTCAATTCACTTTTTGCAAAGCCTGTTGATAGGGCAAGAGGTGTCTGAGAAGGTAGATTTAACATTTTCTTTTCTATTTGTTATACCTTGTTTTCCCCTTCTTTTTTAGTTCAGCAAAAAGAAGTTGTAACATCAGTTTAATATAAAGGTACAATTATTCCCAGGGCCACTGTGGTAGACAAGATGCTCTGGATTCAGCTGATATAAGGTCATTCTTGCTCCATCTCTACCATGATAAGTTTTTAGGATTAATGTTCCAAGACAGGGGTCCCCAACCCCCAGTCCGTGGACCGGCACCAGGCTGCGGCATGCCAGTAACAGGTCTGTGCAAACAAGCAAAGCCCCATCTGCGGGATGCAGGCAGTACATGAAACCCACACCGCTTCCGGTCCGCAGAAAATCTCTCTCCACGGAACCAGTCCCTGGTGCTGAAAAGGTTGGGGACCTTTGTTCTAAGATTAGGAAATATTTTCACCACCTCAGGAGAAGGAGAATAAATATACAGGTAGTCCTCAGTTAATGAGTGTCCTGTTTAGTGACCATTCAGTGTTATTGACAGCATTGAAAAAGTGACTTTGTGACCAGGCCTCAACTTAAGATCAGATGATTGCCATTTACAAGCTTTATTAGCAATAATACACCTTTTAAATTTGATAACTTTAATCACTATAGATATACTGTAATGTCATACCAGACAGTAGCATAATCTGGCCCATAAAAGAATCCGTCCATTGTTTTATAAATAATGTAATTGTTTTAATAAATTACAATATAGTTTTGTTTGCTTCTTGTAAAAAACGATAAGGTTTAATAAACCACTTAGATCCTTGGAAATATTTTTAATAATTACCATGATTTAAAAATGTATAAATATGTTGTAAAATAAATTGGGCTTCTGTTGTAACCATTGATTTATATAAGTAGATATCAGGAAAGAAAAACTGTAATGACAGAAATTAATATAAGGACCCACAAAAACATATAAATAAAGTGGATTTTTTGTGAAAAATTTGGCTACTGAGAAACTGCTTTGAGTTCTGAAGGGTAAAAATATATTTTAATCAATAGTTTTATAGAGTTATAAGTTTTAGTTAAATTAATCACATAAATGAAAAAAAATTACTAAACTTATTATATTTTATTATAAACTATAAAGCAACTCTGTTAATAATTTGAATGGGAGAAGTGCATAATATCCTAGGTTGAGAACAATATCAGTCAAAGTGATAAAATAACTTTGTGTTTTTTAGGTGGCATAGTAATATTAAAGTGAAGAAGTTGCAATGGGGAATCAGCTGGCTGGCATTGCCCCCTCTCAGATACTTTCTGTTGACAGCTATTTCTCAGACATCCATGATTTTGAATATGACAAAAGATTGGGCAGCACTCGTTTTTTTAAAGTTGCCCGAGCTAAACATCGAGAAGGTTTAGTGGTTGTCAAAGTGTTTGCCATTCAGGATCCAACTTTACCATTAACTAGTTACAAGCAGGAATTGGAGGAACTGAAAATACGATTGCATTCTGCACAAAATTGTCTTCCTTTTCAGAAAGCCACATTATCTGAAAAAGCAGCCATGTTGTTCAGACAGTATGTGCGAGATAATCTTTATGATCGAATTAGTACCCGGCCATTCCTAAACAACATTGAAAAGAGATGGATTGCTTTCCAGATCTTGACTGCAGTAGATCAAGCACACAGGTCTGGAGTCCGGCATGGAGACATCAAAACTGAAAATGTGATGGTGACCAGCTGGAACTGGGTCCTTTTAACAGATTTTGCAAGCTTTAAACCAACCTACCTCCCTGAAGACAATCCTGCTGATTTCAATTATTTCTTTGATACTTCGAGAAGGAGAACATGTTACATTGCTCCAGAGCGCTTTGTTGATGGCAGTATGTTTGCCACAGAATTGGAGAATATACGAGATCCTTCCACTCCCCTGGTTGATTTGGTCAACAGTAATCAACGCAGCAGAGGGGAATTGAAACGTGCAATGGATATATTTTCTGCAGGTATTTCAAAGTGATAATAGTTAAGGATAATCTGTGCTTTGCCTTCATAGACAATGAGTAGTAAACACTTCAATTTTGAAAATTAGTATTGAAAAGTATGCTCTGATTTCTGGAAGAAGCTAGGGAAGCTTCTGTGCAAATTTGGGATCAACTACTACCCTAAATCAGTGTTTCTCAAACTTGGTAACCTTAAGATATGTGGACTTCAACTCCCAGAAGACCTAGCCAGCACACAATACTGGAATTTGGGGGATCTGTTCTCTAAAGCAATGTTCCTCAATTGTGGCAGCTTGAACCTATGCTGGCTGAGAAATTGTGGAAACTGAAGTCCACCTATCTTAAAGTTACGAAGCTTGAGAATCACTCTAAATCATCTGGCCATCATGTGATTAATTCAGTTTATCTAACGAATGAAGACAAATAATAAGTGTCCCAGGATAATGTTGCAGGATCCAGTCTGGGTCAGTCAACAGGACCAGAGGTTTAGTCTTTCAACGTTTGGACTTGTGCTGGAGCCCATCCTCAAGGAACTCTACCAGAATGTGTACTTTGGTCTATTATATGTGTAGTATTTATGTGGTGCCTAGTTGTGTGTGGCTTTTTATTTGTTGATGGCCGGCTATTAAGTTATTGGCTATTGTTTCTTTGTGCTGCCAAGTCCTTGGCTTCTAAGGACGTGATAAGCTGGTGATAAATAAAGCACTCTTGTTGACTGACTTGCAGATCTCGGAGGCTGCATTCTACTGCTTCCGAAATGGTTGTTATATTTATTAGAAGAAAGAAGATACAAGACTAACTATATGGCACACTCTGCCATACATCAAAAACATTTTAGAAGCAATATCTTCTGAGATTGCAAGTGGGCATTGCGCACTGCCCAGAGGCTACTATATGAGGATAGATCATGTATTGCAAAGATTGCTTGGAGGTGGGAGAAACTTCTAATGTAATCTACAGACAGGGAGGAAACTAACCACCAGATTGCAAGAACACAAACAAATGGTCAAACATGGGGAGGAAAAACTACGATGGATACAGCGAAAGGAATGAATATCAAAGAAAGTATAGTCAGGCAGAGGGAAGGGGGAAGAGGCACCATAGCACGGTATCGGATTAGGAGCCCCAATGTAAAACTTAATGAGGTGACACTTAACAATCCTGTAACTAATGGGAAGATAGTGGATACGGGGGAGAACGTCTCTAAGAGAAGGGAGGGACGAAAGGGAACTTTAGCAGGCAGCAAGGCTGACATCATTGAAACAAAAAGAGCAACCTTTAAATGTGAGAAAGGAGACCAAAACGCAGGTGTGGTAGGAATAATTAGGTCACAGGCTGATTGGTTGGGGCCGGTCACGCGCTCTAGGAGCCGAGCGCAGATGCTAAACAACCTTATTTAAGGTACACCCATAGACTGGCTTGTTAACCCTGATGATGCTGGGAGCTCCCAGCGAAAGCTTGGTTTTAAATTAAAGTTTTAAACTCTTTATTCTCCTGGTGATCGTGAGTTTTTACCTATTTTATACTATGAATTTACCCAGGAGTCACGTCTTCAAGGATATTATTGAGCATATATATAGATATAGATATAGATATAGATATAGATGAAGATTATTTGTATCTTTGTAGATTGATCTTCTAAGTAACCCTAAATAGATAAATAACAAAATTATAAATCATTTTGATAATATAGAATACTATAATAATAAAACAGAACATTTAAATAATATTTTTCTAGTATTCAATTTTCATCTGATTTTAGATTAGATAGTTTGTGCATGTTGTTTACTTGTATGAATCACTTTCAAGCTTCATTGTAGCTTCACAAAAGGCACAGGAGCTTTTTACATTACTTGTTGCATTGTCTTTGCTATCTTGTACTTAAAGCAACCACTGTATGTAGTTGCAAAACTCTTACATCAAATAAAAAGAAGTAGAAACAATATATTTAGGTTTTTAGCAAGCCAAATTGCATAATTGATCCTTTTCCTGTTATTATATTTGATGGCTTTCTTTTCAGTTGAAGTGAAAAGTATCTTCAGTGAAGGAGATGGGTTCATCTATGCTCCTGATATTATCAGTTGACAATAAATTTAAAGGAGGTGTTGGCAATTGTTTTAATGTGGGAGTAAGATGCTTTTAAAGAGAGTTATATGGATAGAGTGTCAGAATGATGCTCCAAGACAGGATTGGAAGTGTAGTGTACCTATTTTTAATTAATCATCATGACAAATATTTGATCATTGCACTTCCCATATATTCAGGGTCCAACCTTTCTTTAAAGTGAGCTTCCAAATATGTTTAAATGCTTTTGCTGCAACCAGCTATTGGGAAATCTATTATTAGAAGCTGCATATATCTGTCTATCAATTTGAAAAGCCAAATCTACATCTTTTACTTTGTTTTGAGCCACTACTTTTAATAGCTGTGGAAAGAGAATCAATTTTTTTGTTTGTTCTGTTTGTTTGATCTTTTCTGGATTTCTTAGGATACCAGGAAAAAAAAACCCCAATATGAGTAATACTTTTTTTCTCTCACTTCAACGAGGTAGGGTTTCTGTTTCTTTTAATAGCGGCGGTTGCCTTGATGGCTTCTAGATATTTTGGTAAAACTCCACTATGTTGGCTTAGGATAAATAGAAACTGAATTCCTTACTCCAAGTTTAATTTTCCATAAATCTCACTACCTCCTCTTTCCTAGCTGCAAGATGCAGACTAATATTGTACAATTAGGCTACTAAACACATGAGAATTATTAAGGAGGTGGAGAAAGCTGATCCTTTTTGTTTTTTACATGGTCTCAGAAATGTGAGTCCACATGATGGGTAGATCAATATGATCCCATTGCAGCTACGTTATATATGTGAAGAATGCTCTCTCATATTTTTAACAAATGAACACAAATTAATAGAGCATATGGGTTTTCATCTAATCAGGATCTTGGCGTGCAAATATGGAATGATTTTTTTTCATGTTAAACAACAGCCCGGTATGTGATATTTTTACTAGCAATCTAGAATAGAGCTGTCCAAAGCAGGTGGTTTTAGATAGCATTGAATTAAAAATCAAAATTTTCCATACTTGTAATTATAGGGTTAAAGAATGCTAATAGCATATTGTAGATAAGCCAGATCTAGTAGTTAGAAAACATAACTGATTTTGTTATGATCACCGAAGCCAGTAAATGTGGTTTAGAAATAATAAATATAAATAAATAATTCATAATTTTCTGCTCCTTATTTTCTTTCCTCCCCTCAGGTTGTGTAATAGCTGAGCTGTTTACAGAAGGTGTGCCTCTCTTTGATTTGTCACAGCTTTTGGCATATAGAAATGGCCTCTTTTCCCCTGAACAGGTCCTGAGTAAAATTGAAGATCGAAGTATTAGAGAATTGGTAAATAATTCTACTCCCTTTATGGTGGCTTACTCCATTTTTCTGTAGTTATTTAACAGCATTCTTTCTGAATCGTCCCTCTTCACTCTGCTACCTTGATCTCTTTTTTTCTGTTTTTTTTTCTGAAGGTTATTCAAATGATCCAGTGTGAACCTGAAAAGCGTTTAGCAGCTGAAGATTACTTGAAGCAACAACGTAACAATGCATTTCCAGAAATATTCTACACTTTCCTTCAGCCATATATGGCACAATTTGCCAAGGAAACCTTTGTATCTGCTGATGAGCGCATCCTTGTTATCCGTAAAGACCTGGACAATATAATCCACAATCTCTGTGGGCACGATCAGACAGAAAAGGCTGAGGGAGAGACAAAGGAAAATGGATTAGTCATCTTGGTGTCGGTGATAACTTCGTGCCTGCAGACCCTGAAATACTGTGATTCAAAACTGGCTGCCTTGGAGTTGATTCTTCAGTTGACACCTAAGTTAAGTGTAGAAATCCTACTGGATCGTATCACCCCTTATCTCTTGCACTTCAGCAATGACTCTGTGCCCAGAGTGAGGGCAGAAGCTGTTAGGACACTCACTAAAGTTCTGACTTTGGTTAAAGAAGTTCCACGGAATGATACCAATATCTACCCAGAGTACATCTTGCCAGGTATTGCACACCTGGCCCAGGATGAAGCAACTATTGTCAGACTAGCTTATGCTGGTAAGAAGTGAGTGTGGGCTGTGAGATAAGATGAAAAATTACTAGGACTCATTTGTTCATCTGTTATTTGTTTTTCTTGTAAATAATAAAGATGGCAGCTAATTATATGTAAGTGTGATTTAGATACTGAATTTTATTTCTTTATATGAGACTTTAAGTTATTAAAAATCAAGATTGATAATTGGATACAACTTTCATAGCAAGATTGTGGTTATTCTCAAGCCTTATTTATCCAATATGGGTTGTATAAGAAGGCTCTCTGCTACCTATATAACCTAATGGGACACTACATTTCCATTACCAGCTTATTTTTTTTATGAGACAAAAAATAAACTTATGGTATTTCTATTGGTATTCCTTGAGAATGCTTATATGGGACCAAGAGGCACTCTTAACAATAAATATGATACTACAAATTAGTCTTTTTCTTGTAGCCTGGAGAGGGAGTCTGGAAGGATAATTAAAATTACCCATGGAAACAGTAGTGTCCATATTCAGTGCACTACCAACTTTTTCCTGAAATGTACATTGTTATGTTTGTATTTTAAGAATGTAATAATTACTTTACAGGATTGAGGAAAAAATCTTAGTTCATTTTTCAGTTTTCTTTGGATGGTCATCTAAGAACCATTCAGAGTTTTTAGGTGAACAAGCCCAATTATATAAATATAGAGAGAGGCATCTTTGCAAGTTACCTAAAAAAATGTATTTTTTGAATGAAAGTTATTTTAGAGTGTTTGGAAGGCATTAGTGTGATTTCTATGACCAAGATTAATATAGTTCCGGTTATATTTATTCTGTGACACTTTTCTTTTTCTTTTCATCTTTGCAGAGAACATAGCATTGTTGGCTGAAACTGCTCTGAGATTTTTGGAGCTAGTCCAGTTGAAAACTCTGAACATGGAAAATGAACCAAACAGTGAAGAAACAGATGATGCAATGCATCCTAGTGAAAATTATGATACTGGTAATGTATTTCTTATACTGACTTACCTTAAGTATGATGTATATAATTTCCAGGTAAACATCTACAGGATAGGATTTCTGTTTTTCATGCTTTTTGAATGTAGTCTTTCTCAGCCTAGAACTTTCAAGATATGCTGGCTAGGAATTATGGAAGTTGCAATTTCACTATATCTGGCAGAATGTTTCCTGATTCCAAAAAGATACCAAGAATTCCCCTTTTTTTTTTTTTGAAATTATGCTATTTTATCGCTGGCTGAGGAATTCTGATAGTTGAAGTCCACAGGTCATAAAAGGGCCAAGTTTGAAGACCCCTGATCTACAGCATTTAAATAAATATTACACCAGTTCCACCTTGAGCAATAGCATAGACTTTAAATGCTTTGCTTTAAAGCCTACATAACTGATATTATTACCTGATGCAAGATGAGTGCTAACTTGGAAGGATTTTTGAATTGAATGGAAGTTGAAGCATAATTTTTCCCCCTCTCTAGCCACTCATGTTCTTTTTAAACCTACTTTCCATTATTCCACCCTTCCTAACCTGATTCCCTATAGATTTTTTGGAGACTGACTCCTTGAATTCCAGGGCATGGTTTTGGGCCCTTTTTCATAATTTCCAGAAGATTTAAAGAGTTGCTTCCCAGAGATCTCTCATTCTCAATTCCCATTCTTAGAATGCCCCAAAATGAATTGATACATTTCAACTATGTCCCAACCAATAACATCACCATGTCATAACATGTGTTTCTGAGACTCTCCAAAGGTTGAAAAGCCAAACTGTAGTGCCCAACCTTTTAGAGGTTTCCTATTTCTTCTGTAATTAAATTGTTTTAAGGTGATAGCAGTGTAAGAGCTGTGTATGTTGCAGCTCATATAGACTACGTGTTGTGAGGAAAATAATTAAGTGACTTGATCTTGGGTTTTTGATGGTCTGATAGCCAAATGTTATAAAGTATTGCTATAGCTCACGTTCAAAATATGTGAGAGAATGCTACATTAATTCTTATTTAAATTTCCCCTTAGCTTTGAAGTCCTGCTCCCTCTTTTATTTATCATATATTATGATACAATTTTAAAAGAGGTGGATTGTAGATCAGACTCTACTAGACTTTTTCTTTTGTACAATAGTACGTTGCATTTGTCACTCATGATGTCATGGCATAATTTGTTAAAATACATAATTCATTACATTTTCATAAATGTTAACAATCCAGCAAAGATAAAAGAAGAGATTACTGAACAAAAATAATATATTGCATTGAATGATAGTGAACGTCTATTCTACATTTTATCTGATCTGTTTCTGTGTTACTCTTGCAGAGCTTCAGGCCTTGCATGAAATGGTTCAGCAAAAAGTGGTCACTTTATTAAGTGATCCAGAAAACATTGTTAAACAGACTTTAATGGAGAATGGGATCACACGTCTTTGTGTTTTTTTTGGACGACAAAAAGCCAATGATGTACTTCTCTCCCATATGATCACTTTTCTTAATGATAAGAATGATTGGCATTTACGGGGAGCATTTTTTGACAGCATCGTGGGTAAGTACTTAGCAACAGAAATAATATATCCATTATATTATAGGAGGAATGGTTTTATTAATTGATGAATTAAACAGTTTTATATGTAAACAAATCCCTTTAATGTGAACAGCTACAGACTTAAATCACGTGAACCAACTTGTATTTATGTGCCAAAAGTCTCTCACAAGATGACCAGTCAGATGCACCATGAATATTGTATAGGTCAGGGATAGGCAACCTTGGCTCTTTTATGACTCGTGGACTTCAACTCCCAGAATTCTGGGAGTTGAAGTCCACGAGTCATAAAAGAGCCAAGGTTGCCTATTCCTGGTATAGGTAGTACTCAGGTTATGATGACAGTTGGGACTGGGATTGCTCCAGTAAGCAATGCAGTCATGAAGCAGAACATATTGTGACCATATCACTTAGCAATGGCTGTCAAAACATCACAACCTCATGAGTCATTAAATCATTAAGCTGGAAGAGGTGAGCGTCCCAAAAAGGAGTATGGGAGTGTCATGGGTCAGCCAGAGACGGTCGTGGGCAGACCACTAAAGAACACAGGCAGGCTGATGAGAGCCACAGGTGGGGTGGGGAGGTTGCTTGCAGGCATGTGGATATGCTACAGAGTTCAGGTGGGAGTACTGCAAGATCTTGGTATTGTAATAGGGCACCTAGAGAGGAAAAGATTTTCAACCTTTCCTGCTTGCTTACTTGCCCATTGCCTTTTCTTGTAAGAATCTAGGTGGGAATGTTTCAAATGGTGATCATATGACTGTGGCTTACTGCAGTGTCATAATCATGAGTAAGCACTTGGAACATGATTGCATAACATTAAGGATGCTTGATAGCTAAAATTGCACAGTCGCAAATCATTTAGTGCCATCGTAATTTTTTAAAAGAATTTTTTATTTTATTTCCAAAGTTAAAATACAAACAAAACAAAAAAATGAAATAAGACAAAAACATAGAAATGTTCATAAAAAGAAAAAAACATACACATAAATTGCCCCTCCCCAGTTGAATATTATGAATATATTTCAACAATAATAATTCCCTCCCATTGCAAAACAGGTTTACAATTTATAAACTTCTACAGCTCTATTTACTCAACTAATTTGACTTATCATCTTATCTACTGCAAAAAGAGTTAACAGGTTAAACCCAGCAGAAAAGTGCCATTGTAATTTTGGACAGTCATTGAAAAAGCGATCTTAAGTTGAGGACTACCAGGAATGGTGTAGACATATAGCTATGAATCATCCCATGTTGTCTACCTTCAGCATATGATAATCAGAAATATATTATGTTTGCATATTTAGCACTAATAATTAGTCCTCCATCTTAAAATTAATGCCACAGTTTAGGGAAGCATGGTCCTCCAGATATTGCTAAATTACATTTATAGTCCAGCCAGTAGTGAAGGATGCTGAGAATTGAAACTCAGTTACATGTGAATGGTCGTGAGCTTCCCATCCCTGATGTCTTCCATTAAGCACTAAAACAGTGCCAACAAATTCTGAAAAAGAATATGAGAAATCTATAGAAAACAGCTGCTGGTCTTAAAATAACATTTAATTTCATTCTTTTTCAAAATCAGATGAATTGTCTTTCAATATATGTTGAATTTAGTTTGTAAAAGAATTTAATCTTTTAGGAATTATAATTTATATCTTTTAAATCTACCTGGATTTTAGGTGTGGCTGCTTATGTTGGCTGGCAAAGTTCTTCCATTCTAAAGCCTTTGCTTCAACAAGGACTCAGTGATGTTGAAGAATTTGTAATATATAAAGCTCTCAATGCCCTTACCTGTATGTGCCAATTAGGGCTTCTGCAGAAACCTCATATATATGAGTTTGTGTGTGATATTGGTAAGTCAGCTCCCCCCCCCCCCCAGTTTCAAAAATCTTTGTATGGCATGTAATTTAATCAATGGTATATAGTCAGTCTCCCTAATTTAATATCACCCAAGCGATTTCCAGAAAATGGAGTTCTTGCAACTGTGGTGTGAACACATCCAGATAGTTAGGAAAGATTCTACTAGATTAAAATAGCTTTATCTAATTATCAGTTGACATATTTGCAATATTAAATTATCCTACTCATTCAAATGTAGTGAAATACTTTCCAAATAACTTTGATTAGTCATTGATAGCATTTTACATTCATAAAATTACAGCCTTCCCACACAATCCTACTGCTTTAACCTCTTTACTCACCAATAGTATAGGAAAAGGCATATAACTGCATCATGTCTTTTCATGGTAGTGCTAAGAACCATTCATCTGGAAGCACCCAAAAATCCACCATCAATAGGTATAGCCAGAAAGCTCATTCTCCAGCACTGGAGATGGAGGATCCACCCATGGGTTATGACTGTATTCCTGCCCAATCAGATCAAGCCAGCCTAAGTTGTCACGCCCGTCCTGGACCATAGCGATCCCAGATTTTGGCTTGATCTCGCCCAGGACAGACGTGAAAACTTGACTCTTAGGCAGGTATAGTCTTCCATTGGGGGATCCTCCATTTTATACCCCTTTAGCTGGGATTTTACTCCTAATTTAATTTAATTTAATTTAATTTAATCCTAAAGGAGAAATTTAATTGATGGGGGGATATTCTTGAAGGGGCTCCTTCTTCCTCTCCCCTCTAAAGTATTGATTCAGACCGGCAAGACAAAGGAAGATTCCTTTGTGCCGGCTGCATCTGAGGAGTAACGGCTGTTAGTCCTCCGAACTTTAAAATTTAAAGGGCAATCTACTTTCAACCAGAACTTACAGCTCCAGCTCCGAGGGAATCCAGAACGAAGGGACGATTTCCTTCGTACCTAAAAAGTTTAAAATTCCAGGATCTCCAAAACTATCCGGGGTCTTCTCAATATCTTCTGGAATCTTTGTTCCTCAGTCGGGGAATCGCCGACCGGAGAGCGCGCGCGCTTCCCCCATTCAGTGCCGATCAGCTGCTCAGCAGCTGACCTGCAAATCAAAAGCTCTATTTCGACAGAAGCTCCGCGGCGGGAAATTTAAAGCCCTTGCTTGTTTTTTTATTGCTTACTCCTTCGGAGTCGCCTCTTGTCTTTGTTTAACACGATCGCCATCTTGGGCAACGTGGTCCCCGGATCGGACCTTTACCTAATCAGCTCTGATTGCATGTAATCAATTGTTTAAATTAACTGAAACAATTCATTTATTAATTTGGAAATTGATTAATTTTAAATTAAGTAAGTAATCAGTTTGGAAACTGATTATCAGTTCGGAAACTGATTACGCTCTATTAATTGAATAATTGATTATTTTTTAATTAATTAAGTGATATGGTATAATAATTAAATGATTATTTTTTAATTAATTAAGTAGTGATAGCATCTCAATCACCTGATCAAGGGGGTGATTTATTGGGAATTTATTTCTTGTGTAATTGAATTAATTATTACTTAATTAATTGAATTAATAATTGAATTTATAATTAAACTAAATTAACTAAATTAATTAAGCGAGCTAGTTGAGTTGATTAATAATTAATTGATGATTGATTGATTATATTAATTAATAACTGGAACACTGAGACTCCCTTTACCTAGGTTTGGTGACTCTCAAGGAATTTCTAATCAGACCTATCCAATTGGATGAAGATAAGGAGTGACAACTGGACTAACAGAGGATCAGCGCTCATCTGGATACCAGACGCCCCTGTAGTGCGCCTTCCCTCATCCAGAACAGAACCAGCCGGATTCCAGACACCCCCTGTAGAGTGTCTGTCCTTATCCGTGCCAAAATATAGTGGATTACAGACGTCCCTATTAGAACGTCTGTCCTCATCCCCGCAACAGCCTCACCTGGGTTACGGATGCCCCCTTAGTGTGCCTGTTCCTACCCAGAGTGCATTGTTCTCCAGATACCAGGAGCTCCTTCTCGTGTTCCTGTGCCATCGGAGTATGGGCGATTCGGGCCCTGCAGCTAAGAGCGCTCTGCCATCCTCATCAGGACTACCTGGTCTGGAAGGCGCGGAGAAGACGACGACCAAAACCAAGGTAAGATATACAACCAAAAGCTCAAAAAGAGCAGACAAACAAACTGAACGGAGACACTAGGCCTTAGAAAGGGAGTTTTCCAAGGCGCAGAAAAGGGCTAGGCTGGAAACAGCTCAGTCCTAGGAGTTAGACCTGGATTTGCCCCTAGGAGCCCCTTCATCTCCCATGGGCATCTGGTCAGCGGGGGAATCCTCACATTCCACCGCACAGGACGGACCAAGCGAGTGTCCATCCATCCCTCAATCCATCTCCACAAGTGTTCCTCAAGGAACTCCCGAAGCCACCTTTACTCCTATGGCGGCAGGTTTGCGGCCAAACGAAACGGGGTACCTTCCCAATGAGGACCGCCTCGCCCTCCTAATTGCTCAAGCAGTTGATAGGGCCCTTGATGCTAGGAGCCAGACCTCTAAGCCAGTAAACACAGCTCCTCGCCACGCACCACACCTGGCCGAGAACTACAACAACCCTCCTTCCCCAGGTGGGTCATCAGTCTCTGAGACTTCCTACCTTACTCAGGTCGAGACTGAACACGAAATTCCAATGTCCGAAGAGGAGGAACTTCCCCCAGAGGCACCCTCCTTTAGCGGACTCTTCAATCCTTCCTTCTTTGTCACCTTAATTCGTAAGGCCACATCCACAGCTCACCTCGGGTCTGAATCCTCCTCAACCAACGTCCCAGCTGACCCGGACGCAGAGGCAGACCCGAATTTCGTTGAACCTGTAGCAACTCAACACCACATCCCCTGTCCCTCGCTGTTCTTGAGGGCAATTCACAGGCAGTGGGCATCTCCGGCCTCCCTCCCTCTCCCGAGTAACACTGACAAAAAATTGTACAGTGTTGCCAGGGAGTTGGAAGAGACCTTGGAGGTACCGTCCATAGACGAACCATTGGGTCCCCTAGTACCGCCCACGGCTATCTCAGGGGATCCGGCCACACTTGTCCAGTCCAAATGAGATCCTTGATCTGTGTCGTGTGGGTCGATGAGTTGATGTCTTATTCACTCTTGATGTCATTCATATAGAGGAGGTTGATAATGTTAGTTCAACTCTTGAATTTTTATACATATCCAGTCCTTGTAATTATCTGGCTGTGAGGGCTCAAGTTGAATGCAGAACAGCATCAGGGACAGTGTATTCCCTGACTTTTTATGCTGCATTTGATGACCATTTCTGCAAGACGTCTTCAGTTGACTTCCATTGTTGTTTTCCACAGTCCCATTGAATTCATTCTTAAGGTAAGTCCTTAAGAATGTGTATTGTGTGTCAGGCACTCACAGATCCCCTTTGGGGGCAGACTCTCCCTATTTGTCCACCAGTGGGAGGCCACAACCATGGACATTTGGGTGCTCAACACCATTCGTCACGGTCTTTTCCTGGAGTTTACATCCAACCCCCCAAATCGGTTCCTATCTTGTCCATACCCCCGGAACCGAGTAAGGAAAAGACTAATGAACGAAGCTGTTCAACACCTATTACACATAAGGGCCATAGAACCAGTACCGCTGGACCAGAGAGGTCAGGGATTCTATTCCATCCTCGTCGTCGTCCCCAAAGCTTCAGGGGGATGGAGGGCAATTCTAGATCTCAAGAGCCTGAACTTTCATCTTGCATATCGCAAATTCAAAATGCAAACACTACGATCCATCTTGGGAAGCGTAAGGAGAGGGGACTTTCTAACGTCCATCGACCTCACGGAGGCGTATCTCCACATTCCTATCTCTCTGGCCCACCGCCGGTTCCTACGGTTCGCATTCAAGGGGCGCCACTTCCAATACAGAGTGCTCCCATTTGGTCTGACATCGGCACCAAGGGTGTTTACCAAGATCCTGGCGGTTCTAGCAGCTCATCTAAGAATGGTGCCTGTCAGAGTCCAATGCTGTCTGGATGACATCCTAATCCAGTTATCGTCCACACAGTCGGCCGTGTCGGACATCGATCTGGTGGTAAAGCTACTCCAGGCCCACGGGTTCTCAGTAAACTTTCCGAAGAGCCACCTGAACCCCACAACAAGGCTGCTACACCTCGGGGCCATCATAGACACCGTAGAGTGCCAGGTATACCTATCACAGGAGCGCCGGGACAGCATACGGGAGTTAGTCCTCCAAACACGCAGAAGTCGGGCGGTATCGTTAGCCAGCCTGTCTCAATTATTAGGGAAGATGATTTCGGCCATAGCAATAGTTCCATGGTCCAGACTCCATTCCAGGAGGCTGCAATGGTTCATGCTCCCCTTCCAGAGGCAGAACCTCAGCGCATCCAAGACGAGAGTCAGGCTACCGCAACAGGTATCATGGTCCCTCACGTGGTGGCTATCACCAGCCATGACCAGAGGGTCATACTTCAAGGAACCAGACCGGTTGATAATCACAACTGATGCCAGCCTGTTTGGCTGGGGAGCACACCTACAATCGCAGTGGACCCAGGGATGTTGGTCCACCAGGGACCTCCATCACAACATCAATTGGCTTGAACTAAGGGCAATTCACCTGGCACTCCGCCATTTCCAAAACCAGGTGAAGCGTCGGCACATATTAGTCCTCACCGACAATGTTGCAGCCAAGGCCCACGTAAACAGACAGGGTGGCACACACTCTCAGATTCTCCTGAGAGTCTCTACTATTAGGATCATGGGCAGAGCACCATGTAGCATCAATCAAAGCCGATCATATCTCAGGGAAAGCAAATACCCAAGCCGACCTCCTCAGCAGGTCAACAATGGATCACTCGGAATGGCGCCTCCATCCGAGGATCTTCAGGGAGATTTGCCACCGCTTCGGCCTCCCCCTCATGGACCTCTTCGCGTCCCCATCCAACGCTCAACTGCCCCGTTTCATGTCCAGGTTCCCTTCAATGGGGGCGGAGCAGACGAACGCCCTCCGGAACCCATGGCCACAGGGTCTATTGTATGCCTTCCCCCCCTACCCCTTCTTCCAGCGGTGATACGCAAGCTCCTTCGGGAGTGGGCGGAGATTCTCCTGGTGGCCCCGTACTGGCCGTGGAGACCTTGGTTCGCCGACTTGATGAGTCTCTCTGTCGCAGATCCTTGGCGAGTTTCCCCAGAAAGGGTCTCCCTCAGCTAGGGCATTATCCTTCACCCGGATAAGATCGAGCTTGATAAGATCGAGCTTGAGCGCTCGATCTTATCAAGGGGACTTTGCTCCCCAGGGGTCATCTCAATAATCCAGGCCTCTCGTCGCCCATCCACGAACTGCATCTACGAGGCTTCGTGGAAAAACTTCCGCTTATGGTGCTCTGAGCAACAGTTGTCCCTTTCAGAACTCACAGTACCACACATTCTGGATTACCTGTTAAGGAGACTAGAGAAAGCGTTGGCCCCAAGCACATTGCGCAGACAAGTCGCCGCTCTGTCCACAGTACTCACTTGTGACTCAAAGGAGCCCCTGGGCCATCACCTGTTAATACATTCCTTCCTAAAAGGGGCCACCAACACCAGACCCCCTTCCGTGCACAGATACCCTTCATGGGAATTACCAAGGGTCCTGAAGGCGCTCACGAGAACGCCCTTTGAACCCTTAAGTACGTGTGACATCCGCTACATGTCTCACAAGGTGGCCTTCTTAATAGCTATCACATCTGCACGACGCATCTCCGAACTGGCTGCTCTATCGATCCGGGATGACCTATGCGTCTTCCTCAGGGATAGGGTAATTCTCCGGCTCGATCCCACCTTTGTCCCAAAGGTCAACTCTCTTTTCCATAGGTCACAAGAGATAGTCCTACCGGATTTTTGCCCTCACCCATCACACGCCTTAGAACGTCAATGGCACACTCTATATGTTCGCAGGGCACTTCGATACTATATCACGAACAGCCGAGTTCCGTTCATCCGAAGCCCTATTCGTTTCCTTTTACTCCTCCAACAGAGGTAGGAAGGTCTCCTCTTCCACAATAGGCAGTTGGATACGGGCATGCATAGCCGAGTCTTACCAGGCCGAGTCATTGCCAATTCCACAACGAATTACAGCTCATTCCACTCGCAGCGCAGCCACTTCTGCAGCATGGGCCACCCAGGCCTCCGTTGAGGAGATCTGCAGGGCAGCCACATGGGCTTCACCATCCCCTTTCATTAAACACTATAAGATAGATAGCTTCACCTCAGCAGAGGCCTCCTTTGGCAGGAGAGTTCTCCAACAGGTCTTATGCCAAAGTGCCACACTGGACCAGTCTACCACCCACCCTCAGGGACAGTAGGCTTTGGTATGTCCCATGGGTGGATCCTCCATCTCCAGTGCTGGAGAAGGGGCGTTGCCTTACCTGAACGCCTTTTCTCAGCACGGAGATGGAGGATCCACTCCCTCCCTCTTTTTCCTTGGGTCATTTAGAACCTGGGTTAGTTTAGTTTATGAGCCACTACATCTTGTGTCTGTCAATGGCTACGCTCGCGTCAAAATCTGGGATCTCTATGGTCCAGGACGGGCATGACAACTTTGGCTGGCTTGATCTGATTGGGCAGGAATACAGTCATAACCCATGGGTGGATCCTCCATCTCTGTGCTGAGAAAAGGCGTTCAGGTAAGACAACGCCCCTTCTATTTCCCAGATTAAAAGCAGATTTGAAAGCAGTCCAGCTGAAGTATCTACCTGTTGGCAGAACAGTATGTGATGACTTTTGCAATGAATTTTCAGTTTGTGGATATTATTAAGAGCAGTTTGGAATAAAATCAGAAATATTACAAAGCAGAAAGGAGTTTAATTCTTAATGGAATATTCTGCCCCCTGCTAAAATTATAATTATGAAGGGATGATAGATGAATAATAGAAACTTTCTTCCGCTGGGTTTATTTATTTGCAGTTTGAGTCGGAATTGTTACATGCATGTGTGTAAGAAATTGTATACGTTTTTTGTCTGGAATTTGAATTATGTCTCTAATCCTATAATATTAATTAAAATTAACATTCCTTTTAGCTCCATTTTTGTGCCATCCTAATCTCTGGATACGTTATGGAGCAGTAGGATTTATCACTGTTGTAGCACAGCATTTGAATATTGCTGATGTTTATTGCAAACTTATGCCTTACTTGCACCCCTTCATCACCCAGCCAATAATACAGGTAATAAACCAAGCGCATATTATCATCATTCATAGCAATGCACTCTATAAAAGATCTTAACATTTGCTTTACATCTTCCTTTTGTGAGATCTGTTTAGATCTGTTTAGAAAGAGTAGTCATAGCTAGTATAGCTGCAGTGAATTTTGCATACCTTTTCTTCAATGGCAGTAGTACTAGCTGCTGTTGCAACTTGCTACATTTCTCCATTTCTGTATTACTAACCTTTTTTTTTTTTTTGGTGGTGGTGGTGGTAGTGGTGGAAGAATTAGAAGCTGATAATTAAAACTGTGACCACATGCAGCCAATGACGTTCACTTTCTCTTTTTTAACAGTTGTTTATGATTCACAAGACTTTTCAAAGGAAGAAACAATTCCATGGCATTTTAAATAGAAAGAGTGCTGTAAAATGGAAGACAACAGTTAATCTAAAACAGTATTTGAAACCATTTCACTGGAAGTGAATTTTTAAACTCCCTCTTTCAAAATCTGCCATTGTACTAGATCTCTATGGAAAGAAGAAAACTTTCTTTAAAAAATTAAATCCCTATGTTTTCTTTCTAATGGAACTCGATGTCTTCCTTGTTTTCTCTCCTCCACTGCAGATAGATAAAGAAATTGTTCTCCTGAGTGTTCTCAAGGAGCCTGTAAGCCGTTCTATATTTGATTATGTTCTAAGATCAAAGGATATAGGAAGCCTTTTCAGAACTCTACAGCTTCGTCAGAAAAAGAGAAGTGGGACTCTTTCTGACTGTCCACCTCCTGAAGATCCTGCAATTGCACAACTGCTAAAGAAGCTACTGTCTCAAGTAAATATTTTTCGGTATAATAATAGTAAAACCAGGTACAATCTATGGTCACACCCGGATATGAATCATGGCAATAACTGTCCAACATCCAGATAGATTGGTGGCACTTGTCATTGTTTTCACAAAAGCCACCTTGGAATTTATGTTGTGACACACCACTAGTCAGTTTTCCAGTTCTTCAGTAATGACCTCTAAAATATTGTACCTGTATTAAATAATAGAAATTGCTCTTAGGAAAAAAGAGAGCTAAGTTAGAAACTTTGCTTACAGAGGAAGAACCCATCCAGACTGTCTTGAAATATGTTTTTATATTTAATCTGCTGATTTAAATTTTGTAGATAATTTTCGTAAGGTTGATATGTTAGAAAATTCTTGTGTCAGTTGCGTAGAAGTATTAAATGTATTAAATGACCTGCTTGTATAAATAAAATATAATATGTTAATTTCTATTAATGAATAAAAATAATTTTATTGAACCTACCATACTTAGAGGTTATAATCTTTCTGACAGTTCTGTTGGATATGTTGGATTACCAAAATAATAATTTACATTGTGTGGTTGAGCAAGGTAATCCATGTCTTAAATTATTTTGATTACTAGAAGGCAACTTATTTTTGTCTTTTGCTTTGCTTTTGTATTTAGCAAAGGATTTATTAACATATAACTTAGTTCTTGATTTTTAAAAGGCACTAAGATTCACTTTGATTTTCGTTGCCACATTATGTATAACCTGGAATTCTCACCTGTTTTTCTCCAGTCATGATAATTTCAACACTCTATGTTTTGGGAATAGGGGATGACTGAGGAAGAAGAAGACAAGCTGCTTGCCTTACGAGACTTCATGTTAAAGTCCAATAAAGCCAAGGCCAACGTAGTGGATCAGAGCCACCTTCATGACAGCATTCAAAAAGGCGTAATCGACTTGGCAGCTTTGGGAATAATTGGGAGACAAGTTGATCTTATCAAAACTAAGCAGGAGTCTGATGATAAACGTGGTTAGTATAGTTTCATAGTTCACATCTTTTTACTAGTTTACATGTGGAAATTTTCCTTAGCCATTAGTGTACCTGGGATTTAGATTTAGTCATTGGACTGCCAAAAGTAGGTGTTTCTACCATTTATCTTTATTGCTTCCTGAAAATACTACTCAAAGGACTAGGGGGATTCTGTTGAATGAGCATCTCTGCCATGGCTTGCCCTACCTTATCTTTTCAAGGTAATTCTACCTTGGTATATACAGATAGTCCTCAACTTATGACCATAATTGAGCCCAGAATTTATATTGATAAATGAAACATTTGTTAAATGAATTTTGCCTCATTTTACGATTTTTCTTGCCACAGTTGTTAATCACTGCAGTTGTTAAGTTAGTAACACAGTTGTTAAGTAAATCTGGCTTCCCCATTGACTTTGCTTGTCAGAAGGTCACAAAAAGTTTTCACATGACACAGCAGTTGTCATAAATATGAGTCAGTTTCCAAGTGTCTGAATTTTGATCACATGACCATGGGGATGCTGCAATGGTCTTAAGTGTGAAAAATTGTTATAAGTAACTTTTTTCAGTGCCGTTGTAAGTTTGAATGGTCACTGAATTGTTGTAAGTTGAGAACTACCTGTAAATAATTCCATATATTCTACTTCTAGATGTGTCTCATTAAGTGAAAAGCAATCTTTAAAATTAATAATTCCCCACACCTTGCAGTCTGAGACACTGAGCACATAGCTGGTGTTAATAATATACCATTATAGTGAAACTAAGTCTATTTTGAATACAGATTAAATAGTCTGACTTCTATATGGTTTAACTGCTTTATAAACATGAAGCACTTTTGGGAATTAAGATGAATGTTTCAGAGTTACTTAATGTTACGCTGAAATTTTTGCCCAAATTCTTACTTAGCCACTGATTTACTTGATCCAGCACTGGCCTCTTTACCTTTAACATCTGGTCAAAATAAATCATGCTGGGTAAGTCTATGATCTGTTTATTCTACAATGATCCTGACCATTCTGGATTTTTTGCTATACATCATGTTCAGTCTCATGATAATCCTTCTTTTGGGACTTGCTGATTTTAGCTAGAAAACATGTAAAACAAGATTCAAATGTAAATGAAGAATGGAAGAGTATGTTTGGCTCTTTGGAACCTTCTAGCATACAGCAACCTCTTAGCAAAGGCTATGTCCAAGCCTCTGACCAGGAAGCTATCCAAACTGGAAAACCTCTTCGATCAGAATCCTCCGCTGGCATTTGTGCACATTTATCATCTTCTCCACAGGTATTTGATGGAATATTTTAATTAATTTTATGTTTCAACCTTAAAATTCCTTTTAATGTCTAAGAATCTTTTTTTACCTCAGTATTTTTGTTAAAGTATAAGGAGGGTAAATGCCGTGTGTGTGTGTGTGTGTGTGTGGTATAAAACGCCTAGGCCTTTCATATATATAACATACTCTGTTTCCCCGAAAGAAGGCCCTCCCTCGAAAGTAAGCCCTAGCTTGCTTTTTGGGGGTGGGCCTAATATAAACCCTACCCCAAAAGTAAGCCCTACCTGCAGTAGGATCGTCAACCAGATGGGGCATGTGGAGCACTGGGAGTGCTTATGGGGGAGGGAGGAAGATTTCTTCACCATTCCCCTTATCTTTTTCTCAAGCAGTTGCTGCTTGGCTCTTAAGGGAACGCAGAAGGGTCTAAAAGGGAAGAAAGTTTGGATTCATTTCAGAAGCTGCTGCTGCTGCCACCTGACCGGTGCCAAGGCCAGGCTGCTGCACCTGCTGCACCGGGGGCCAGTGGTGCCTGGACCAGACTGCTCTTTAGCCAGACTGATGGGCGGCAGCAGGACTGGCTCACTGCGCAGGCCATGCAGTTGCTGCGCAACCTGCCACTGCCCTGTCTGACCTTGGTTCTGGTCGCAGCTTTGCTGCTGTTCTAGCGGCGCCTGCGGGCCAAGCTCTCAACACACCCTTGTCTCTCCCACCCTGCCTGCTGGCCCTTCTACTCCTGGGACACTTATCGGCCATGGCGGGCACCAAGCGGCTGCCCATGCCGCTTCTGACCTCGCGGGGGCTCTTTGTCCTCCTGGCCGCACTCCGGAGGTCGAACGGAAGATCTGTGCCAACTTGCCCCACAGCCCAGAGCAGTGTGGCCAGGAGAGCAAAGAGCCCCCATGAGGCAGAAGCAGCACGGGCAGCCACTCAGTGGCCACACAGCACCTGACGCAGCTGAGAAATGTCCCAGCAGCAGTAGGGCCGGCAGAGGCCGGGTCTCACCAAGGGCTTGGTTTGTTGCAGCGGCAGGCAAGCAGACAGTGGGATGGAGAGGGCGGGGCCGGCGGTAGCAGCACTCCCACTCCCGTTGGCCCCCGCGCTCTCTGCCTTCTGTACTTGAAAATAATAAGCCCTACCCTGAAAGTAAGCCCTAGTGCTTATTTCAGAGCCCAAAAGAAAATAAGACCAGATCTTACTTTCAGGAAAACATGGTATAACCAGTCCTAAGTGTTTCACCATTAAAATATTTTTTCCTTGGCTACTTGGTGAACATCAGAGCACATTTTCTTAGTTACTGTGATGATAAACATTTTTTTCAAGAAAACTTGCCATTGTTCATTGAACATAAGCAAATGCATTTCTAAATGTCATTGTATCACTTCATACAAAGAAAGGCTTGATGCTCATTCTTGATTGTTTATGCTTGGATCTTCATATCAGTCATTATAAATAATGAACCTAGATAGCGTGGTGCATTTTTTTTTATTATTAATGTAGGAACTTGGAATTCTAGCTTGCTGGTTTCCCAACAAGCAGGTCTGCAGTTTGTCCTTGCCTTATGTCATATTTTTTAAAGAACAGAAATAATGGGCTCATGTACTGGCAGATTGAGCCCAATTGAAGTGATGAAACATCATGTAAGCATATTTCTAATGCAAAAGCTTAGATGTTTTCTCTGTTTTCTGAATATATATCATGTGATTATCCAACGTGATTTATGTATGGCTTTCAGGCAGCAGATGGACAAGCTATCCAAGTCAGAAAACCAATTATACAAGTTATAAGCAGTGTAGTTTCACCCTCTACATACCAACTGCGCATTACTACTTGTAAAACTGAACTTCAACAGTTAATACAGCAGAAGCGTGAACAATGCAATGCAGAAAGAATTGCAAAACAAATGATGGAGAATGCAGAATGGGAGACAAAGCCACCACCCCCAGGTAAACCAGTGTACTCTTAAACATTAGAAAAACTATGAAGGTAACACAACATGGGATTTTAGTCCTCCTGCTGAGGTAGCAGCAGATTTTGGAAAATAGAAATTGTATTTCTTATGTTCTTTCCAATAAAGTTTAAAGTGATAAAATGTCACTTGCTTATTCTAGCTGTAACTGATGTTGCATTCCATGGTCCAATTAGAGCTGCAGAGAATTTTAGCCTAATTCTAAGTCAGATGCTCCATATGCAATATAGAAATATTCTATTTTGATAACAGAATGCCTCCCTCCTTATTCAGTTATTCTTATGTACTTAAAATTGTTTTGTTCTTCATGTTATTTTGATGTATTGCCATATTTAGATTAAATGGAGTGGAATGGAATAGGGGAAGGGGAAGGAAAGGAAATTGATTTGTCTTGCGACCTTATCAATAATTCCACTGACTATATTATTTCAGTACTTGCTTATAAGAACTATATGCATTGGTGATTGAGTCTCTACCTAATAAGTTCCAGTGTCAGAGAGACAGGGTTAAGTAATACATAGTTATATGTGTGCTTACTAATATTTGCATTTTACGTCACCTACCTAGTTAATGTGTTTTATAATGCCTGCATGACATCGGGGAAAATCAAGCAAGCAAGCAAGAATCGTTCATACTTTTGTTGAATAAATGAAATGCATTTTACTCTGGCTTTAGGTTGGCATCCCAAAGGGCTTCTGGTTGCTCACCTGCATGAGCATAAGTCTGCAGTGAATCGTATTAGAGTCTCTGATGAACATTCAATTTTTGCTACATGCTCAAATGATGGAACAGTGAAAATTTGGGACAGTCATAAAATGGAAGGCAAAACAACTACTACTAGGTAATTTATAATATTTAGAGATGCAGATTTAATTTTAGGAGAATCTACCACATAGTTAAAAAGTTAAAAAGCATAGAAAAATGAATAGAAAATGTGGTTAGGGATCAGCAGGGAGACGCATGCTTACAATATTTGAGAAAACGTCTTTTTTCATATGTGGGACTAAAACATTTTAATTTTTTAACATGATGATACTGTACATAGTCTTGCTTCATTGGGTCAGTTTGAGGTACTGCGGTTTTCTGCACTGCAGAAAATTACATAATTATAGGGATAGAAATTCAAATACTGGTTTATTTATGAAGATTTTATGCCACTTCAATTCAATTCTAAATGACTTACAAACAAGGAAATACAGTACTACAATGCAAAAATACAATAATTATAAATAAGTATGAAAGAATAGTGATGATAATGATATAACAAACACTAATATTAGTTCCTGCGTTCGTTCCAACTACAATAATAGCTACCTCAGTGCTCTGATGCTCTTTAGAACATTCATGTTCTTAAAGCTTATATTAATAGTGAAGGTACAGATGTAATTTAAATGGAGTTTCTGCAAAAAAAAAAAAAAAAAAAAAGGTGCTCCACCTCTGAATTCTAAGTTACAATGAACCTCCCAAAAGGTGCTTAAGATCCAGATTCCAAGTTGTGACGCTCCCCCCCCCTCGGTCATGTGAATGCATTTTGGGCACTCGGCAACCAGCCTATATATACTGCTATTTGTGGCATCCTATGGTCACATCATCACAATGTATGACTTTTTTGATGGAAACCAACATTTACTTCCAGTTTCTAGCAAAATGTCCATTGCGAACAATAGTCTTATTTAACAACTGCCTCATTCACTTAACAAAAAATGACATAAAATCAGGTCAGTCACAAGACTCATTTAACAACCAGCATAACTTACGATCATAATTCCATGCTCAGTTACAGTCGAGAACGTCTATATTATTTAAGGGAAGGGTTTTTTCCTCTATATCTTGAATGCCTATAGCACTATGGAGACCTTTATGCTTTCAGTTGCACACACATTGGCTCTCATGAGATTTCAAACTGGTGCAGTCAATTCACAGATGATTTCATACAGACCTCAGTGCAACTATCTGAGCTGTGCATGCAGATGCTTATCTTTAAACAATGACACACATGCACAATATTATAGAGAGCAGGACTTCTTACTATTGCTTGCATATTGAGCTTTCTAGGTTTTGTAATACCTGAATAGAGCTAGTGTTATTTTCTTTGATTTTTTTGGTCTCACTAACTATTTAATTGCCTAGGATAAAGCTCTTGATTAAGTCATGCATATAATTGACTGAAATCTAATTGACTTCAATTATCATTCAATTTTGTTTAAGAAAGTATTGAAAACAGTTGAAAGGCTCAGTATTAAAGAACCTGTCCAAAAAGTTCTTCCTCCTGAGAGGGAATAATGCTCTTTTTTAAGCTGTCACAACTAGTCCATTGTTTTCCCCGAGAAGTGCTACAAAGGTATGTAAAATATGCTAATTTTTTTTCCCAGAGCTGTGCCCAGCAGGTGTATGTAACTTTAGTTTCAAAGCTTTGAAGTCAGCTTTTCTTTCAAAGCAGCACTGACCATTAAAGCAGGAAGTAGAATTCAGTTGTGGATAATAATGATGTACTTATTGCTCTGATCTAATATAAAAAATTCTCTTTTTATTTTGGATGCCTATCTTTTCAATCAATTAAAAATTAAAATCTGTTAATCTTCATTTTCCAGGCAAGGTTGCCCTTATCTCTATCGAAGAACTACTTTGTGTACATAAATTAGATACGTGTTCCAATTTGTTGTTTCTTTTGCCTGGAAATTCTGGGAATAATAGTGTTGTGAGGGAAATAATGATATCTTAACAGAGAGCCTTGTTATCCTCACAGAAGGGCATATTCCCAGAATTTTATGCCAGACATCATAATAAGTGAAATGTATGTAGCTCAGCATGTTCTCACTTTCTCAGTGGAGCATGGAGCATGAGGAATTTCATTGTAATTTTGGGGTTTTTCCCCCCCTATTACTTATAACAGATCAATTTTAACATATTCTCGGATTGGGGGACGTGTGACAACGCTTACTTTTTGCCAGGGTTCTCACTATTTGGCTATAGCTTCAGATAACGGGTCCATCCAACTTTTTGGGATTGAAGCTTCAAAACTCCCCAAATCACCTAAGATTCATCCAATACAAAACAGGTATGTTTATGTGCAAATTTTCTTGTTTCCTATTGATTATCTGCTGTGGTTATTCCTTCCAAATATAAAGTTAGCATATAAAGGATACAAGATGGGTTATCATGTTTCTCCCTGATATTATAGACCAGCCTTCCCAACCGCTGTGTGGTTTTCACTCTTCAGAATATCTCAGCAAGACCTGTGATGCTAACATCTTCTGGAGGATGTCCAGATTGGGAAAAACTATGATAGGATTTTTGGGAGTTACTTCATTTAAACATTCACAATTTTTAAAACTAAATTCTGCCTCCATTATGAATTGAGCCAGTCTGTTCCAATACCTCAGGATTCTAGCTGTCTTACTCTCTTGAACATAGAGAGCTGTGTGTGGGGGGTGCCTATTAATGTTATTGTGCCTGGTAAGAAAATTAGTGGCTTTGTGCTTTAAGAGAACATGTTGCTTACAGTATGTCCATCCACTTATCGAGGTTGCTTTCTCCCAAGACTTAGTACTTCAGAATGACCTAAACTAATATTTATTAAAGATAAGAAATCCAGAATTTGAGCTTGCAAACTGTCTGCTACTCCAAAACTAGTACTTGCTTAAAGACCAGTTAATGAGTGGCCATTTGAACTTATGATGGACCCTCCCCTAAAAGAACTCACAACCCTGTTTCAAAGTTAAGTCTGCTGCAGTGCCGCCTCAGTCATTAGCCTTTATGACCTGACAGGGCTGTGGGGACCCCAAAGAGTGGGAAGCAGTATGGGGTGTCTCATGGTATGCAAGGAGGCCTTGGGAAGCCCAAAGCAGCAGGACTGGCCCAGCGCTAGGCCTCCCTCATCCCTGAGGTTCCCTGTGCTCCACGTAATGATGCACCATTCATTTAACAACTGTATTGGGGAAAATAGGGCATAGAAGTCATCAAGCAATGCTGTCTTGCTTAACAACCATCACCATTTGTGATTATAATGGACAGGCTTCATTATGATCATGGGCCAAGGGCTACCTGTATAAATAAAAGCTATAGGAAATATTTTTTTCAAGGGTGTAAGCCATGATAAATTTCAGTGAATAATGGCTAGTTCTTTTTATTTTATTTAGGTTTTTAGATCAAAAAGATGATGGCTGTGTGGTAGACATGCATCATTTCAATTCAGGAGCCCAGTCTGTGCTGGCATATGCCACTGTGAATGGTTCGTTAGTGGGATGGGATCTGAGGTCCTGTAATAATGCCTGGACATTAAAACATGATTTACGCTTGGGGCTTATAACCTCGTTTGCTGTTGATATACATCAATGCTGGCTCTGCATTGGTAAGTGTTGCTTTCTTTTAATCATTATATTATTTATTAATGTGTAAATAAAATTGCCCTTTACCACATGTACTGAGTGCAGATATATAATGGTTCTTGGGTAATTGAATCAATCTGGGTTCAACTCCTACTATTTCTTGTGCAAGAGATAATGTTACAAGAGCAAGTTAAATATATAGTCCTCATCTTATAACTGGTCATTTAACAACTTCCAGAGTTATGACAGCCTTGGAAAACGGATTTACAGCCTATAAAGTATTTCAGCTATCATAAAATGCCACAGCACTGCCCCCTGCTGTCACATGATTGCATTTTGGGTGCTTGGCAGCCAGCTTATATTTACAACTAGTTATAATAGTTGACTGATTTTTGACATTTTCCAGTGTTTTTTTGCTTTTCTCCAGCAAAGGGAAACACTTATTTGGACTTAGGATCACATAATTTGCTTGATAACTGCCATAAAAATGGGCATAAAATCAGGTCTAGTCACATGAGTGCCTCGACTTATGACAGCCATGATTAATGGCTGAAATTTCTATCCCAATTGTCATTGTAAATCAAGGAGTACCTGTAGTTTAATTTTCTTTGCAAATGATATAAATAGTTATAAATAAATAATAAAAAGAAAATGTGTCCTTAAATATCATGTGGACATCAGTGCTAGAGCTTGGAAGACATTGCTTAAAATGCATTATATTACTGATCTGTTTACATTTTTCTTTGCAAGGTACAAGCAGTGGGACCATGGCATGTTGGGATATGAGATTCCAGTTACCAATTTCCAGCCATTCCCATCCTTCTAGAGCACGGATCAGACGGCTACTTATGCATCCCCTTTCCCAGTCATGGGTGATTGCAGGTATAGTTAATCTTCTTTAAACATCCAAATGCCCGCAAAATTTAAGATTATGTTAGGTAACTGGAATAGCATAGCATAGCATAGCATAGCATAGCATAGCATAGCATAGCATAGCATAACACATTACATTACATTACATTACATTACAACATAGACAAATTGCTGAGGATAATAGTTCATGGGTTTATTCAGAGAGCATTTGTTTGAGATGAGACTGGCTGTAATTCAGGTAAATGGCAAAAAAAACCTCTCCTTGAATCTGGGATCATAATAAGAAATGAGGATTAATAGGAGGTATAGTGGCTTACTAAAGGTCTATAGGTGGCAATAGTAGAATAGGAAGGCAACAGAACAGGTGGCAACAGTGGAATGTAGGAAGAAATCAAAAATGTCAGTATGCAATCAGAGCGTGCTACCAGATTATAACTGCTGTTTGTTATTTTATATAGCTGTTCAAGGCAATAATGAAGTCTCCATGTGGGATATGGAAACAGGAGATCGACGCTTCACATTGTGGGCTAGCAGTGCTCCTCCTCTTTCAGAATTACAGGTTTGCCTTCTGAATTTGGGGTAAAACATTTCAGAGTGTAGATTACAGATTTTAAAAGAGATAAATCAGATCAATACTAATGCTTTTAACAGTGGAGAAACATACAAAACACATTCACCATTTTTTTCGTTGGGTTCCTGTGCATTTTGTGGTATAATTCAAAATGCTAATGTTTACCTATAAAAACCAAATAGCTTGGGAGAAAAAGTATCATAAAGTGTCTTCCTTTTATACAAGATGATTTGAAATCATCTGGAGAAACTCTTTTTCAGTGCTGGTAGTGCATTTTTAAAATGTTAAATAATCAAATCTACAATATGATTTTTAACTAATGCATTTCATGCTGCAAATGGGTGTATTCAAGTGTAATGTGTTAATTGTGCAATACTATTTAATTTTTTTAAAACCTTTCTTTAAATATTTTAACCCCAAGGCCTATACATTTAATATATGTTTCTGTCTATTAGCCTTCGTCTCATAGTGTTCATGGAATATACTGTAGTCCAGCAGATGGAAATCCTATATTATTGACTGCAGGTTCAGACATGAAGATAAGGTAAATATTCATTAAAGATGAATATCTGGCAAATCAAAGAATAATTATACAGTCCATCAATTATCTTATTCAGTCTGGCATTGCTGAAAAGTGGTGCAAGCATAAATTAAAATTTGAATTAAATGAACAATCCTATCAATTTTCATTGACTGTGTACTTCTCAAAGGCACTGACAGACATATACTATTATTTTGTAACTATTCTTTAGTGACAAATATTCTTCCTACATTTCCCACGTTCTTTGCTCTGGTAATTTCTTATTGGCATATATAGCAGCTGAGGTTGGTTGTGTATTACCCTTACTTGTTAAATTGCTGTTCTGTAGCTCGGCTGGGAGCATTTCCAGCTTTCTTTTCCTTTCCTTTTCAAGTTATGCCATGTTATACCTATAAGCACTACTTAGCTTTCATATATCCAGAAAACTGAGCATTTATTATTATGGGATGATATGGATGCACTATTTCTCTATCTGCTTAAAAGAATATTTCCATGAGAAACCATGTTTGTATCAGTTGGCTATAACTTCACTAATTAACCAGTTTTTATCTAGTAATAGCCCTAATTCTTTCTACTATTTTTAAAAATCAGTTTAATTTTTTAAGTCATATTTGGATAATAAATAGAAAACAATATAGATTTACATATTTTTGGTAATTAAAGAAAGTGAGTAAATCTGAGTAATAATAGACTCAGACAGAGATAGAAATAATTATTGAGCTTGATGTAATTATTGAGCATGATGAACCAATCTTATTTACTTACCGTATTTATCGGCGTATAACACGCACCGGCGTATAACACGCACCTTCATTTTAAGAGGGAAATTTCAAGAAAAAAAAAGCGCCGGCTTGGGAGCGAAAGCAAAAGGGGAGGGGGAGTGGGGCTTCGTTCACACGCAGATCCCCATGCTCGTATTTATTTACCGTATTATGCCCGGCTGGCGGCGGCAGCGGCAGCAGAAACAGCAGCCTCCTTCCTCGGTTAGCTCCGATTCCCTCCCCCCGTGTCGCCTCTGAGCTGCAGGACTCCGCCGCTTGCTTTATAAATCCTTGGCTGCTGCTCCATCTTTTCTTTTCCCACCAACCGCCCCCCCTCCCTCGACCCCTCCCGCTTTGCAGAAACGCCTGGATAG